AAAGTGAGAGGACGCTGGCTACAGGGTGTCTCAGGCGGCTTATTCCGCAGTCGACCGCGAGAGAAAGGAGTTTACCTCTAATGGAGTGGCTGGTCCAGTCGGTCTGCACGATCGATGGAAAACGAAAAAGGCGCAGTGGCGGAGGTTGACCATTAGCAAAATCTCAAGTTTCGAATCTCTCTTCTTTGCAAGTTTCTAAGTACAACTAAAAGATAGATACAGTTTTAACAGAGTGCGTGAAATAATCGAAAACGAAAAGACATAATGGCGAAAAAGTCCATTAGTAATTACTGTGATTTAAAATTATTGAATTTTGAACTTTCGAAAATTTTTATTATTTGAGCCTTAAATTCGCATTTGTGGGAAATGCAATGGAACACATGACGAAATTGAAATATTGAGAAACAAAAAAATTACAATTAAAATTTGTTGTTAATGAATAACTGACTTGATAATGTCAACAATAGAATTCTTGGTAGAATTCTTGGGAGAAACTTTGATAGTACATTCATATAATTTTATTTATCGCTCTAATAGAAAATAAATTTCTTTCGTTCACTAGGATTATTTTCTCGCTACGCCCATGACCTAGACATCAGACCTACTTGCAGATTCTCGAAGATAGAATTGATATGCGAGTTTTACACTACACGATGACGAACGGATTAAATCGGAGAGCAACTTTCACGTTTGCTCTCACGCGTGTGATTCTTTCCTTTTTCCTTTTCTCATTTTTCTTTAATACGCATTGTATTTTATTAGCTGAGCGCTTCAAGATTTCGTAAAATGATTGTTCGAATCGTTACGTCAACAGCGAACTAATTCCATATAATACAATCCGACTAGGCCTACGGTGTAAAGTCTAGTGTCATAAAGTCCCACATTTTATACGCCCCGTAAGTTATTACAAATGACATTACTCGCTTTCGTCTCACTCGCCTCTTTTCGCCTAACTTGAACGGTTATTATTATTTATTAGGTATCACAAATAAGTACGGAGAGAAAGAGAGGCAACACTGGTTCTCGTAAACCTTTCTCTTGGATAGCAGAGATTAAATAACTGCTGGATGCGAACCCTGGTGTTCGCGCTCGCAAAACCTAAAGAGATTTCGAGGAAGGCACGTTGGGCGATCTACATGATTACAGTTTTAAATAATGCAGTGAAATGCATAGACAGGAGTTTGATTTGTGTGAAATTTTTGGCATGTCGAAAATTACTTAACGATTTTGCTAATTTATGTAATATCGACGCCATTAAACGCGTTAAGATAATTGAGATCATGTTTAAAAATTTGAAAGAAGTTGGAATATGATTAATTGTATGTAGGATATATATCTACATGTATGTATATGTATAATATAAACGTTAAATTGATTTTTTCTTATAAGAGCCAACACAGGATGTAAGTGTGTGAAATATAATTTATTAAATTAATATAACGTATACGTTTTGACCCTCTCGTTTTGAGTTCTCTTCAGTACAAAAACAAAACATCATCAAATCTAATTTCGTAATATTATTTTGTTTCGTCACAATTGTAAAGATTGTGTCCTGTCTTGTAAGAATGTTGACATCAATTTGGCAAAATTGCTATAGAAAAAAAAAACCCAAAAAACTGTAACTAATTTTATTTAAAATTATTATTCATAAATAGAAATTGTAAAGAAAAATCTGTTATTTACATATCATAATATTTCAAATCAAGAGACATGAGTTTCCATTGTGCATCCTGTCATTAAACTAGTGTATTCAATGAACAAAACACATGAAAATAAGTTGTAATTGTTGTAAGATTATAGAATTACAAAAATTATTTATATAACTTACATGACAGATAAGATTGGAACGTTGTCAACGATTCAAAATGCAGTAATGAGACATGTAACACTAATCAAAATCAAATAGGTTAATAGACAGAGCAATTCTGTTATCTCATCCAAAATTCCACCAAAAAAAATTTGGATACTATAATCGACATCCTATTGAATAACGGTTACCCTCTAAAATTGATTTTTTCAACAATAAAAAAAGATTATATAGCAAATTTCAACATTTTTGAATAAGAATAACGTTCCGGATGATTCTTTACCTACCACAGAAGACAATCGAAGATTCTTTGTAATTCTTTGTAATTCATATTTCTTCCATCTCAGGAAAAATAAAAAATTTTTATTAAAAAGATTCCGGATATGACAATTGCATACAGAGGCATCCAAAAATTGAACAGTGTGTTTCATTAGAATTCAGAAAGATCCGCTATCATCAATTTCGCAGGCAGATGTAGTTTATAGACTTGACTGCAAAGATTGCAATGCCTCTTACGTCGATCAGACGAGCAGATGCGTTAAATACAGATGCCTGAACATAGAAATCATATTAATAGAAACACTCCTCAATCATCGGTAATTACAGAACATAGAATACAAACATATCATAATTTTGATTGGGACAATATTAATATTTTTAATATAGAAAATATTTGAAACAAAAGGAACAACAACATGTTCCTTTAAATTACAGAATGATTAAATGTCCAGAATGACACTAATTCACTCGATCCGTTATATGAAAGCCTAATCACAAAGATGTAGCGTTTCCTTCTCTCGTTTATTTTTATTCTTATTTTTATTTTTATCTTTATCTCTATACTATTATTACTTTTATTTTCATTTTTTCTTCATTTTAATTTACTTAATTTTTCTCTTTTGTCTTATTTTTTTTATCTAGGTTACTTATTTTTCTATCATTTACGTATCGTTCTTTGACCTTCTCTTCCTTTTACTTTTGACTATTTTCAAACATTAAATTATTATTACCTATATGTGTTTCGAATTTGTGCATTCTGTCTTTACTTTGATTTTGGTTAGTATAATGAATGATGATAATGGTTGACTCGTGTGATTAAAATCGGAGAAAGTGAATTGCCTAATCGAGTCTTGTAATATATAGTATAAGAAAACTACCAATAAACAAAAGGATAGACATCACGAACCACTCGTTACCGATTCTAAATAACATTGTATCCTCTAAAATAATTTTATCTCCTATCGAAGAGAAATTGCTTAAACTTGAAAGAGAAACTAAAGAATTTATATCATCGCAATGATAAAGATCGCTATGTTAACAATGTAAAGGAGATGCTTAACGATAAAGATACGTATACTGTAATAAAAAAAGATCCTACGAGAAAAATAATAACATCTCTCAGAGATTTACTTACGGGATGGAAGAGATGCACGTTTATTAACGATTCTAAATATAAATTCTTGTACTGTAGCGATGGGACATTTCCCAGGGCATACGCCTTTTCCAAAATTCACAAGATGAATTGTCCATTTAGAATCATTGTTTCTTCTATCGGTAGTCCATTGCATCATTTGGCTTCTTTCTTACTCTAATATAATGTTTGAGGCTTTGCCCAAAGCAGATATTCATATTAAAAATAGCTTTCAATTAGTTGATAAACTTAAAGGAACACACATAAGCAACGAGTATAAACTGATTTCATTAGATGTTATATTCCTTTTTACTAATATACCAATGGATCTGGCGATTGATTGTATCAGTGAGAAATGGACATATATTGCTAAGAAATGTGATATTTCAAAAACAGAATTCATCAAAGCAATCACTTTTATTCTGGATTCTATCATGTTAGTCGTGATAGAACGACTAACATGAATGTTGCTAATAATGTTGAGGTATCGTCAGATATACCTTCACGGTTCCTTATGTTCCACGTATTACCGAAAAATTTAAACAACTTAATAATAACAACATTAAGGTATCATATTTCAGTTCTAATAAACTGAGAAAATACATTAAGGTTCATAAGGATCCATTGGATTCTCTGTCGAAGACCAATGTGGTATACAAAATAAATTGCAATGATTGTGATGCGTCGTATGTGCGACAAACCGGGAGAAGATTAAAAACGCGAATTACAGAACACCGTAACCATATATGAAGAAATCGAGCACTAGATCGGTAATAACGGAACACAGGTTGAAACATGGACATGATTTCGATTGGAATAATGTTCAAATTTTAAATGAAGAACCGTGTTATAATAAACGTATCGTTTCAGAGATGCTTAACATTAAATAACAATCTTAACCTACAAACAGACACAGAGGGTCTACATGTGTCGTATGTACCAATTATAAACAATGTTTGACTTTGCATTACCAAGAATTTATGTATTTTAGTTTGTGACTTCGAAGCAGTAGGACGATTATTTTTCTTTCTTGTTATATTTAGACGTATTACACTTGTAATTAAAAACGCAATTTTTATTCTCATCGACACAATAATATTTTACTTTTACTAATTGACATGGAGTTTTGGAATTTTCAACACTCAGGGATGAGTTTTTATTGGAGAAGCAATACGCTTGTCAGATTATAGTTTTTAGTAAAAAATTTTTGTGTGTTAATATTAGAAGTACAAGTACATATCGCATTCGATTATCCAATTGGCTGACGAGAAGTGTTGCTTCCTCGGGGAAATTATCAGTTTTTATCATGAAAATAACCATTATTAGCATGTACATCTGCAGCTTCGTACTAGACAAACTAGATCTTATTGCGTCAACGTTTTTCTTTAGCAAATATATCTTTCTGTTATAATAATGTAACATCTGAAGATGACTCAAATTTAGAGACGAAACGTCATGTTTTGTATTTGTTACTATTATTTTTATTTTTATTTTTAATTTTAATATGTAATTTAATTTATTCATGCGTGTGTTGGGAAATTTGATGTTAACAATTTATATAACTTTATTCTGTAATTAAAGGTTTACCATGTTATGACTTTGTTGTTTATAAGTTTATTTGACTCTTACATGCCTTATTCTATCTTTGTTGTTTTAAACATTAAGAGTCTTGTATATTCTCTTTATTTTAATTAGTTTTTCATTTTTTCCTGTTACAGATTGATCATTCGAATGTAAGTTTTTGAAGAAGTTGAAAGATTCTCCTGACGAGAAAGGATTCTGGTTAGAATTGGCGAAGGTGCTAAGAATAGAAGAAAGAAACAATTTATCGCACATATACAAAAAAGTGAAGGAGAATAATATGGCGGGCGAGGACACACAGATTTTGTCGAACGGCAATGTGGAAGCGCTCACAATCATCCCACCGAAGATGACGAATGGGAACGGATTGATCTGTGGCGATAAGCAGCACAATAACAACGGCTCGATACCAAATGGGAAGTTGCATGGGATCGGCGGTACGGAGAACGGCAATCTAGTCGTGCCGGATGAGAGGTCGAGCAGCCTTCACACGGAGTTCGACGATGCCGACGTGTCCTGCGGATGGGGTCCGTGCAGGCCTCACTGGCTGCAGTACTTTGCCACGAAGCAAGCCTTCCTAGTGACCTTCTGCCTTACCTGGGTTAGTACACAAGAAAGTTTATAATCTTTTAAGTGTAAATAAATTTATTAAGAAATATATAACAGATAACTAAGAATAGAAGGGAATGAATAAAAAGTAAAGTTAGAAGTTATAAAGGAGGCAGTGATAATTACGTCAATTTCGAAGAATAATATTAAATAAGAATTAATTAGGTATATGTAATTCTTTCCTAAAAGTGAAGGACAAAGAATAGGTTTGTTCTAATCATTTTAACACATAATCTTATTAAATGAAATCTATGAGTTCATCTTTTGGCAATTTAGCGTAAAATCATCTTTATTTTTTGTCAATGTAGGTGCTTCAGGGTATGTACTACACATACTTCGTCTCCGTCATCACGACAATAGAGAAGCTCTTCCAAATCCAGTCAAAGACAACAGGCATTATTATGTCAGCTACGGAGATCGGTCAAATCGGGTCCTCCCTGTTATTGACGTACTATGGCGGCCAAGGCCACCGGCCGAAGTGGATAGCCTGGGGCATGATCCTCTTCGCCGTGAGCTCGTTCACCTGCTCAATACCCCACTTTATCTTCGGCGAACAGCTGATTCTTCAGAACGAGATGCTGGTCAGCGGCGTCGGACCCGGCGCTGAGAGCCGCGGGCCCAACGGCACGGATCCGATACCGGCGAATCTCTGCAAGTTCCAGGAAAGGAACAACACATTAGACGGGTGAGTGCTACTGTCTCTTCTTCGAGTTATCCTCTTCTATTTCTAAATTCTTAATGAGTGACGCCTTCCGACGATTCATCATAATGAAGAGAGATATCTTCATTAGCTTTTACCCTCGTGATTAAGTAATAGCTAACTTGACAGTCGTGAATCATCAAAAACACAGGGTATTAGAATCTATTAATCGCAGTTGTATAGTAATACGAGTGTGAAAGAGAAATCAAATTATTCAGAATTATCAGCAATTTTTTAATTGATAGGTTAATGAATCAGCTAATTTAACAAAATTATTGATTTGATTCGTAGTAATGAGATAATATAGATATTGAATCACTGATTATTTTAATTCGAGTTAATAGTCGCTAGTGATGATTCGTATTTGTAAAATTTATTTTGTTCTTTTAACAAATTCGAATAACTTGTGAGAAATCAATGCAGAAGCATTTATGGTACAGATGAAGAAAATTTATGATTGTCGCGTTATTATTATACAATGTCTCGCGAAGAAACAAGACGGCATGTAAACGATCAGCTTCGATCGTTTCGGGCGAGATACAATAATCGTTTGCCATGATAAATACACAATGTAAAGTAGAATACCGCCGAAGTAATGGGTATGCAGTTTTGCCTCAAACTCGTATTATACAAGAACCGGTTTGTCGTATTTCTGCAGGACGAGTTGCACCAGCGGTTCATAATCCGAGGGCAACTAATGAAAAACGAATTGTGCGCTTTACGTTACCACAAAGACCTCTTAGACAACTGAGCATTTTCGGATAGAAATAGTCTCTTTATCGTTAGAAGCAGTTCCGGAAATAGAAAGTAGGAAATAGAACGCGTTGTAAAAGAGGAGGACTATGTTAAGACTCTCTTAAAGAAGAAATATCTTATATTTATAAAAGATTTTACGTTCATAATAAGTATACAAATCTTTTGAATAATTCCAAGAAAAATTTAGTCGAAAAATTTTAAATCAGTCAAAAGGTGAATTGTTTTTAATTGTTTTCGAAAATAGTTTTTAACGAAAGGATAAAAGTGTGCAAATTACACGCGTGTTAATTTTACGTCATGTATATTATACCGACGACATATAGTGTATGAAGGAAATCGATTTTCATATGAAAGAGAGAAAATGATAACGTGTTTAGTTAACGAGCGAGAAAGTTTGGCCGATAATGTTGTTCTGTGACGGCAGTGACTATAACAACGGTCTCCATTCTTCAGGAAGCGCGTCTACGTGTGCTTTAATTTTGCTAATTGTTATTTAATGAAAATGTCCGTTGATATCGAGCACAATGAAATTCACAGTGAGCAGAATGCTCCAAACTGACTCAATTTAATGGGGAGATAAAATGGAGCAATGTCGATTACGTTTTTCTTGTTATATCGCGTTGCAGCTGCGCTTATTATCATTTATCATGAAGAAAAAGGATCATACTCCTTTTGTGTAGGCGTTAACTTCCTGATGTACTCTCCCGGAAGTAGTTGATAGAATTTTACTATAAAATAGAAATTATCGGCAACGAATTTAGGTAGCAATAATTGTGACGTATGATATCTATACGATATAAGATAATTTGAATACTTCAATGTTTGAATAAAATGAAATTACAAAAATCATATACTGATCGACAAAATTTTATTGTCATCAAATCTCGTAAACGCCAGACCTTGTGTAATTAAATTTTATTATTTTATTTTCTAATTATAAGTTTTAATTTTTCTAAGTAGATAATACATTTACTCTGACATTAATTTATATAATGCGGTACATGTGTGTGCTATGATCGAGGATTAAGTAATTTGCGTTAATCAGCATACACGTCTGATTTATTGCTGTAATTACAAATGTCTAATGATTAATTTTATATTTTTTGTCTGAAAGATGGAACATATCGACGACCGCACCTCAAGCTGAATCGTCGGAATACTGTAAAGGCGATTTTCTTATGGAGCAAAGAATACAAAGCAAGATAACTACGGTGGTGCTTGCAATATTTTTTGTATCGTTACTCGGTGTGGGAATGGGACAAACAGCTGTATACACTCTTGGTATCCCATATATCGATGACAACGTAGCCAGCAGAGAAAGCCCATTATATTTCGGTAAATTTTTTCATTCATAAGTTATTGTTATATTCTAATCCTCTTTTTATACAATTTTTTTTATTATAACAGATTACACTTTAATTATTTGTTTTAAGAAGCAACAATATTTTAACATATATAAATTACTTTTTCAATGTATTATTATTTTTGTAATATAAATAAAAAAATATAGTAAATATTCAAAAAAGGGACGCCATCTCAAATGATCTTGACTTTGACATATGTTGTCAAGGTCATGGCCTTAAGTAACTTTGCTTTAACAGACAGCCAACTAGGTGGCTGTCTGTTAGATAAGATATTTAAAGTTAAAGTATAATTTTCTTTGCACTAAATTTTAGTAAAACTATCCCAAAATCTCAACCCATCTGCTTCTCTGCCAAGAGATCTTCCACACAAAAAGGGAGTTTCATTTCACTTCACCTTCTGCCAAGGGTATCCGACTTCCCACGGAAGAGTCTCACCCCATCTCCCTCCCTGCCAACTATTTTGACATACAGAAGAGAGGGAATGAAACTCTCTTTTCGTGAAAAGTGGTGCGCCCTTTTGTAGGGAGGAAGACAGGGTGGAAGTCGCTTCGTGTGAAAAATCAGACGCTCGATTTGACGCTCCTTAAACAGAGAGGAGAGGTGGAATGGACTCGCTTCATGTAGAGAGAAGGTCATAAAATACATTTTAAAGCAGAAATTTCTGTTTCATACAGTAGAAAAGAGACGATTTTTCAAATTTTATATGTTAATAACTTTTTAACTAATAGCGACCGCCATCTAAAACTTGCTGGAGGTCACTTAGAGTTATTACCTTGTCATTGGAGGTGGCTCTCTTTATTTAAATATTTACCAAAAATTTATTTCTTTTTTTTGTGTCTGCGAATCACAATTCGAAACTTAATCATAGATTTAAGACTTCAAAAATGATTTGATTATGTAACAGCGATTACTATCGGAATACGGATTCTTGGCCCAGCATTAGGCTTTATCCTCGGTTCCTTATGCACGATGGTTTATGCGGATTTATCAAGAAATCCGCAGATTACGCCATCAGATCCAAGATGGGTTGGTGCTTGGTGGCTTGGTAAGTTCAAATAAATGATAATATTGAAATTAAATATAACAGTTAGTTCAGTTTTACCGAGTAAAAATAAAGAAATATTCTGCTTACAAAAAACTTTACACATATACATATATACTTTTAAAAAAGTTTAATATTACTCTTTTGTAATATTAACGTAGTAACATCAACTTGTCAAAATTCTTCATAAAGCGCTGAATCTTTGTTTTGTTTTTATGTAGAGATGTAAAAAGACTTGGTTTGTTAAAAGTTACTTAACTTTCATCATTTAATTAATTGTATAGTTAATATTACGTAACAAATTTATATCTCCAATTTTTGTCGTTAGGGTGTTACCATTAGTCGGATTTTTATCAATCTCTTATGCTCGTTTTTATATCGAAAGATACGTTGAACGATATAATAATAATAATTTCTTAGACGACAACCGATAGTAAAAGTCAATAAACTAATAATTCACTTTAAGTTTGCACTAAGGGATTAGTCCACCTTGGAGGCCTTAAAATCATACCTTACTTTAGGAGGTAATAATTGAAAAACTATACATGATACAAAAAATCTTTTTATATATATATTTATTGCTTGTACTTTGTGTGTGTTGGTGTACAAAATTATCAATTTGTACAATAATTATAAAAAAAAAATGGCGGCGCTGCAGCACGTTTTTTGGAGGCCTGCTTGCGATGAAGGCATCCGCGGTGGACAGCAGAATAGGTCCAAAGTATACTGTAGCCAAAAAAAAAAAAAATTTATTTGTAATCTGCATGAAATTTGCTAGAGAAATATCTGACAGAATTGAAAAATATTGAAAAATGTGAAAATGGTGCATTCATAAAGAAAGAGATTCAATTTTCACGTGAAAATTCGACATAAAAATATGGATTACAAAAAGGTATGTAAGTTATCGCAAAAACGAAAGGTATTTCTTTAGATAATTAATTGACAATAATAATGGCATTAATAATGAAGAATGACACAGCGATATAACTCGTAAATCTTCTGGTATAATTGACAATAACTTAGTAAAATTTCAAAACATTTGGATGAAATTTCTAATAGTTTTGGTATCCACCATTTTTGAAAACACCATTTTGAGGAAAACGAGATTAAAATTTCAAGTCAACGTTATTTTGTATATAAAATAATATGATATAATAGACTGTATCTTTGTTAATATTTGGAATTTTGCATTCGGATTAAAAATTTTATATTCTTAAGATTACAAACTATCAATTTAAGCAATACAAAATTTTTCGATTTTTTGAAAGTTCAGAGTGGACTAACCCCCTTATGCATCGTCTATATTACATGGAGTAAGAAGTAAGAGTAAGAAATTGACCAATCGCAGTCGAATGTGAGAAGAATAATCAATTGTTATTGTAGACGACGCATTAAGTATGTTCATTACAGTATCAAACTGATATTAATAAAAATGCTAAGTATTTTACTAATTTATAAAAATATGTATTATATAAAATATATTTATTATTATATTTAAGATATATGTATACATATTTATATGTATATGTTATTATATATATATATAACATATATATATAATTAATAAGACAGTAGGAAAACACTATCAATTATTTGACATTTATTATCTGGATTTCAAAAATATGTTAAAGATGTTCATTCAATGATTAATTTTAACTACTCGTAATTTCAAGTGCAGTTTTATCTATTAATATATTTTTAAATAATTGAAGAATTAAAGGACTCTTTTATATAACAATAATTAATACGTTAAAAATGGCGAATAAGAGTCAAATTACAATTTAAAATCTGAATCTGATAATTTATTCTAATATTCTATATTGCGAAGAATATCACGTAATTTTTGGCGTTTCGTCCCGGCTTCCACTACTGGACTCATCAGTAGGATATTGTAATGGAAGCCTACCTTAGACGCCGGTGTAAGTTATTAAATCGATATATTTTTAGTTATTTCTATTATTAATATTTTTTACGTCACTGAACTTAAATGTCTTAAATTAGATTGTACATGAATAAAATTAAAATGTTCGAATTTTATGAAAATATTATTAGCACATTATTAGTACAGATAAGTGTGAATAAAACGTACAGACTTCGACAGAAATCGTACGTGATAAATATCTGTATAATTTGTTTTCTACATTATATGACATAGTGTGGATATAAATACAAGACACTTCCAACATATATAATAACAAATCATTCTGTAGAAAGCACTAACTGTGGTAGACTAAATATAACAGTAGAGGTAACAATACGAAGATCCAACAGCATGGAAATAATGAATACAAACAAATTAATAGAAGAACTCAGAAAAATCAAGATTATTGCACTGCATTCTGAATGTAAATCGGAATACGAAGTTGCTCGTAAAATGAACGTCTCGCTGACACAAATTAGAACTATACTTCACAAGTATAAAATACGAAATCAAATAACAATTTTTTTGCGAATGTGTTTATTTAATAATAAGGAATGTAAAAGTTATAATAAAATATTGAAGAACATGTTGGAACAAAAATTGAAACAAAGTGTGAATATAGATATAAAATTAGTCATACATCTGTATTCTAGTAATTTGACAAATTTCGACTTGTAAGTTAAAATACTTAATTACATAATTATAATATATAATGTGATATATACACATGTATATATATATATATATATATGTGTGTTATATATATAATAAATATGTACAAAATAGTGTCTTTGTATGCTTATTGAAAATTTTGTGTGGATATATAATTAATAGTATATTATACTATATATACTCGTACAATTTAATTGATGTGTTTTATTGTGTCTGTAATTTAATCATAAAGTAACTCTGTTGATTTCGTTTCAATTTGTATAAGAAACTTTTTTATACGGTGTTTCAGGATTAGTATTGATCTCGGCAATGCTAATGATTGTGAGTATAGGGATGTTCGCGTTCCCGACCCGTTTACCTTCCAGTCGAACTCCTCCTCGGAGATCGGACTCACAGAAGCCAAGCTTAAGAGGTAAGTCCTGATTTATTCTTCAGGAATGTCTCCGATCTCTTTCGTCAAGCTAGTTGCTGTTTAACCGCACGACATCGAATCTCGCGCCAACTTAATCTGTCTTTTTAGTTCGCTGTAAGCTGCTTTACGTGCAGTTCCTGTCTCTCTTCCTCTTATTATCTCTTTCTTCCTTTGCGTCTCGCGGTTTCCCGTGCGTAACGATCTCCAAGAGAAATCCTCGGGAGCAAAAAGAAAATGGACATGTCGTCCGGTCCGTTGTGATATCAATTTATTCTCATTGTAATAATATGCAACGTGTAAATTTAGTTTGTGCCGTGTATATAGTCGCGTTCGTGCTTTTTTTTCTTTCTATAGTTGCAATATGTGCAATTGTGATATTTTGACTGCACGTTGCACGTAGCCGCTGTACAAATAAATAGTATAGAGATAAAGGATAGGAAATTGATCATTAGAATTTACCCGATCAAAGTTTTAAATATACGTAAATATATATGTGCATAGGATAAAATCTTGTTATCTAGAGAGAGTTTTGTGTAAATGTTATCTTTCCAAATGCTTGAATGTTATGATTCGCGTTTGAATAAAAACAAAAATACACACACACAATACATCTTTTAATAATTATTTCATATATTTGCGATTCTATGTAAATTTGGAAGATATAATATTTCAAATATACACGTACAAATTGCATATGAAATTATAGTATAGAAAAAAGAATTCCGAAGGAATATGAAAGTAAAGGAAAATAGTAATAGATCTTTTGTATGATTTAGCTGATAATATTTCTACGTTGATGACAAGTGTTTTTATTGTACGTTGAAAAGTTCACGACGAAAGGCAAAATTCTGTACGCTTGCCACTTGCCATAGTCCGCGGATCGAAGGCTAACGAGAATGCAAATAGAAGCCGGAGACAATGTGCTCTTCGTAAGTTAATCGGAAGCTCACGACGAGCGATTTCGCCTACAGCTCGAGAATAATGCTTTCTCTTACACATATATTTATATTGTGTATCAAGATAACAATATACCTATCAGTGTGCCTTGAACAATTTTCATCAATTTTTTTAAACATATTAATTATATTTTTGTCGATTAAATAATTATTTAATAATTAGAGAATTAATGAATAAATATGAACATTTATTAGCTCCAATAATTATTTATAATTAACATGTTTAATCTACATTTAATAAAAAAATACATAATAATAAGGTAGAATAACTTCTATTTTATTACTGAGACATAGGAAAGCGCGAGCAAGAAAGAAAGAGACAGAGAGAGATAGAGAGAGAGAGAGAGAGAATGGGGGAAAAATAAATGTATAAGAAATATAAAAAAAGGCTTTTATTACAAACTACAAAAAGTTACGAGCAATGTATTGTACAAGACTTTTTACATACAACATTTATTTTCAGTATTGTAGATAATGTTATGTTACCTACTGCTTCGCTGGCTACAAGTTCAGAGCTATGTATAATAAATCCATAACAACCCACGCGTTTAAATCGCCTCTATTATCCAACGACGATCGAGACGCAACAGGATGAATCACTATGCCACATTCGCAGCTGCATCGATATCTCGCGCGAAGTCCCAAAAGATTGGTCCCGTCGTCGATGACGAATAATGCATTCATACGACTCTATCTATGCGCATAAAAGAAAGAATGAAGCGATCAGACGATCTCTAAAGTGTAAGTAAGCCTCCGGCGGTTCAAGGTCAATGGCGGATCTAGGTGCCGAGCGGAGAAAATCGGTATCGTCTCTGCCTATAATATATGCGGGTCCAATCGGGAAAGTACGACTCGCGTCGAGATTTACAGGTTTCGACACGCCTGTAAAAAAAAATTCGGTGTATATACACGATTAGGCTCTCTCCGTGGAGAATCGTTTCTCGAGCTCCTCCTCGAGCGACTCTCTCGCGAAATTCGGCAACCGTGAATAATCAATCTCGTGATTAGATTTCTGTGCTGTTGTTTTCTCCTTTCCAGTTGAACTTGTACTGCCAGAAATGGCTCCTTAAAGACGGTATTCCATGCTTTATTTGCGATCACGTTAACCTGTTTAATCCTTTGATTTCTCTTAAATCCCAAAATGTGTTAATGAAAATTTAATACATCAAATTAATCCGTATTTAAATTCATTCTATTCGTTGTAACTATTATATTAATTAATTCTGGAATATTATGTGTCTGATGAAAAACATTTTAAAAACGTCTCAACAGAAAAATGGAAAAAGTAATTTCAAAATGTTCATTTCTTAAGGGGATTATAATATGAATTTATATTTTTTGTAGTTAAGAATCGAGATCTTTTGTAGTTGAATTTTTATTTTGAAAAGAGAAATTTATTGCAACATTCTTTGTAATATTCACATATCTTGTTTCAAAAGTTTCGTACAATTTTTTATAATACAGTAATAAGTGATCAGAGTAGGGCAGACGCATAAGAATAATTTTTATAGATCTTGTAATTTAAGAAAAATATAAATGATACATATATTTTTAGTACGATTTTCACAGTTATTTTGCAGGATTTTCGAAAACGATTTTTGTTTCAATTATCACGTACCGAGTTACTGCGATAGCTAAGTGAGAACTTTGCTCGTTTTGATGTCGAAAATCCTGAAATCGTCGGATGCTCCTTTAACGGAGCCTCGCGCGCGCGGACGGTGCGTTCACGCGTGCGTCGCGTAAACGGCCGTTGCGTGCGTGAACGCGCCGGGAGCGTACACGCTGCCGCAGCCGTCGCCGCTCTTTGCGTGTGTGCGTTAATAATAATGACTGACCGACTCGTGCACGAGGTGGGGCAAGTTCACGGTCACGCGTCGTGCATAGAAGCGGTGGTGGACACGCACGCGCGTACGTTTTGCGCGTGCACACGGACTAACGTGCGTGTGTCTCTCACTTCGGACTTTTTTCTTTTTTTCTCTTTCCTCTCCTTTTTTTTTTTTTTTTTTGCGTTCTGCGTTCCTCTCGCTCTCTTCCTTTCTCTTTTGCTCATCTCTCTCGATGGTTCTGTACGAGTGAATTCGCTACGAGCCGCATTACAAACACCATCGCACTCAATTCGGCGGATCGCCTACGTGCGAGCCTTTTTAATGTCTAACTTTTAACCCGTGTCACTTCTAATGTTTTATTTATTGTCGGATACTCTGTTATTTTGTTGAAAGTGAATTCCTGTGTCTTCGCATATTTATAACGAATATTTTAGTGCCACGTTTTAAGCATAAATTATTATTGAACGTCCTACGCGTGTAACCGTAAACAAATAAATCACCTTATACAAAAACGCAAAAAGATCGTGACATTGAATAATTATAATTATCACAATTGTAATGAATATAGAGGGTAGCGCACAAGACGTTATTTAATTATTCGACTTTCGGGATTTGGAAATTAATTCAATTTTGTTAAAAATAAATGTATTTAATTATATTAAATTATACCAAATATATAATAAGACATTTTCATGCGCTACCTTGTAATCAGATATATGCCGAATTCATAACAATTAGCCTTGAAATTGAACCGTTCTATAATATTTGAATTTCACGACTGGACTTACAGGAGTAGATATTCGAATCAAATTCAATTGTTATGCAACTATTATGCAATCGTTAAATTCGAGCGGAGTTTAAAATAATACTTATGCATCTATATTTATATATAATTATAATCTCTCTCATCGATAGCATCGATTTTCAGTATCTCTCGCATCGATCACTAACAATTAATTCATGATGTTGGTGATTACCAAATTGGTGAAGTAAAACATTTGTCAGTAAGAAGATATATTTTTGAACATACGATAACGATCGGCGTCTCACGTTCGAACCTTTAAAGGGTACTGTATACGTGCGCGATAATACTCGGTGCGTAATGTTAGTCACGTTTGTCTACTCATGGTCTGTAGGACGTCCCTATGCGGAGTTGCCACGACTGGCTTCTCCTAGCTGGCCTCTCACGAGTGCCTAGAAGACTCCTAGGCAGTCCTAGCCATGTAGCTGCGTTTGCACGCACAAGGTTACGCATATACTATACATTTTCTACAGTCTCATGCGAAAAAGACGCTCAACTCGTCCGAGTAGATAAATTAAATCGTCGGCAGAAAGAGACCGAAAAGCATTCATTCAGCTTCTTTTTGAGCAAAAATTACAAAATGATTAATTCAGTCTTGAATCTGTTCTTCATTTTATAACAACCCGATTTTTAAAGCAATAAATCTTTTCTTCAAGTTTTTATTTTCGCAAGTGAAAATACATAGAGCTCGAAATACTATGAAACTTTTATTATTAATTTTTCATAAAAAATATTTCTTGTTAATTGTCCAATATTTACTTTTTAATGCCTTTAATCAAATTTTTTTTCTTTTGGGTAACTTTTAGAGAAACTCTCTCTTTAAGACTATTATATGATAGTTATTTAATTTAAAATTATCACAAAATCATTTTATTTTGCTATTTGACATTCTTCAAAATGAGAGAAGAAAAGAATTCATTCATCGAAAGATTTAATACACATTCCATAGTTTCAATGGCTTTTAACATTAGAATCTCAAATATGTTGTATTAATTTAAAAAAATGATGTTCCTCTATTTGTAAGTGCTGTAGCATACATAAAAAGACACACGTTTCCTATTTCAAGCTTTATGACAATTTATTAACAAGAGAGAAAGACAACTGTGAATATGTCTCTCATTAGAACTCGACTGCAAATTGATTCGAGAGGTGTGTAAATGCGTTAGCCGAACTTGGAGAATAATTTTGCGTATTTCAATCGCGGCAATGTCGTTCCCTTAATCGTGGGGAATTAGAATGCTGGCGGTCTATAGTTTCTGAGAGAGCACAGGGGTCTACACGTTTCAATGGGTTAATACATTCGGTCGACCGAGCGATGTGCCTTCGTCTGGCCAAGAGTGCGCGTAAAAGAGTCGCATCGATCTCCACCGATACATACGTTATATTGATTCCAGCGAAACTGCCAGTATAAATGTAGTCGTCGTCGTCGCCGTCGTTAATATTGAAATCGCTTGGAATTGTCTGCGAATCGCTCAGTGTTTTATAACGCAGAATCGAATACTATAACGGAGCCTCGTCCCTTTCTCCTCTTCCCGGCGCTTCATCCTCCATTCCGTATGTGTTCCCACCTCGACTACCTTCGAACCTTTTTGCATCCTCCCAAGGAAAAACGCGAGAGGAGGGATTCGATTGCTCGCTAATTAGCTCGCCCCTCGTAATCGAGCTCGTAAATATACGGCGGATCGGCAGACTCTGTCAGATTCGCCAGAGGATGAGTGTTGCACGGCTCGAAGGGACAGAGGGATCAGAGGCGAGAGGAACCAATAAGAGATAACCGTGGCCACGCGTGCATCTCTCGCCTTGCCACGATGCATCCGCGGAGCCGGATTGCGACTAGGACTATCGCTATAAGGGAGCCCCGCGTAACCTTCGCCCATGAAACGTGTAACACCTCGAGTCGATGACCCGTATATCCGTTGCGCACATTAATACGATAGTGTGAGATCTCGTTTCTCTCATTTGCCTATACAGGGTGCATAATTAGTAGGACATTTGACGTCGAACTTTCGAAAATTTCGAAAGGACGTGGTGTTCGCTCGTAGGCGTTCATTCGTTAAGTACGAGTATATCTGTTATCTGATATATGTCGACTGATTTATTGTTATTAGATCGCGCTTGATAGATTTATATCTATTTCCCAGTGATTTATAGACAAGGAAGATAAAACACAATTTACATTTTAATCGATGATAAATATCTTTTCATTATTCAACAATGTCTGATTGTCATATCACAATTCTCTTTTACTTGTCCGCACCTGTGTCAAAAGTCGATGACAACTTTAATAAACACGCAAGAACTGATCGGATATTTATTCTTGTATACCCACACGCACGCATTCCTGCATTAATTTCGACCGTTTATACTGTTGCAGATTTTCCCAGTGCTGTAAAAAGGCTCTTGAAAAATGACATTCTGATGTTCAGAACTGCAAGTAGTGTGTTGCACATCCTGCCGATTGCTGGTCTCTACACCTTCCTGCCAAAGTATCTCGAGAGCCAATTTCGCCTACCGGCTCATCATGCAAACATGATCTCAGGTAATTATCGCGAATGAACATGCGAGTGGTGCCCGGGGAACCACGAAATGTATCCTCAATTATATTACTAATGACATGCATACCGTGAGAGATGAATCGTGTCCAGAATAACAGCGACGACGTCGTTCTCGAAAGATCGGGCGTGCGACGACGTCGCAAGATTTCGTCGCCGGATGTCCGTCGCGATTACGACGCAAAGTGGATAATTTGACGTAAACGTCAGAATGGTCGTGTCATTTCGCTCACGAAAAAGAATTATTCTCTCACTTCGTTCGTCGTGCGAGAAGTTGTAACGAAATCTACCGGCCAAACAAACTGAATAATCTAGCGTTATTATCGCTAATCCTTCGTATGATTTAAGAAGACGTATAATTTTCAGCGACATTATGTATTTTCGTTTCTTCGTTTCTATTTTTATTCGAAAAAATTAGACTTACAAAAAATAAATAATATTAAAACGATGTAATGAAAGATGTTAGCAGCAGCGGTTTAGCCGCGTGTGCAACGATAATGGATAGTTCGATATAAACGGTAGTCTCGGTATTAATTGTACAGTATCTTATTTTACGTGCATGCGCGTGCTAATTTATGATATTGTCCGCCGAGTAATTGGCGCCGGCTGTAGAACAAGGCTGTGCCGTTTCTACATTCTACTACCCGTCATTCTATGCTTCCTCGGGTATTATTCGAATGTACAGCGAATCATTCGACAAAACCATCGCTGTTCCATTGTTGCTATTGATTTCGAATTATTTCGTAGCTGCTCATAATGATATATTAAACTATTAAAAATATGGATGGAATATTTTAATTCTGAAATGTCACGATAAATCTCCATTTATTTTTCATTTTCATCACAATATATTTGTGATACTTTTTTTAATCATTAAAAACCTAAATGCTTTATTTTTATGATAAATAACATGAAATAATACGTTAAATAATAACATTGATTTGACATATTGAATAACTTACACAAAAAATTATTAATACTACGTAATTACTAAATTTTTGTTACATTAGTATAATATATTGTATTTTACATTGTTCGTTGTGCATCTGGATAATTGAAAAAATAGCGTATTTCCTTTCAACGATTATGTCGATTTTTATTAATGGTGTCTATTTTAATAAAGTGACTATCATCATCCTTGAGTTCCCATGACTAGATTATGACGCAGAGCATGAATTGCCGCAGGTGAATGGCTTTAAACGATCGTATAATGAGCATGATTTTTTGCGCAGGTGTTGGTGGGATCCTAGTGATGGGATTGGGCATCATAATTAGCGGCGTGTTTATCTTGAGGGCGAAACCCAATGCCAGATTCGTCGCAGCCTGGATCGCCTTCACCGCGGTTGTTTACGCGATCGGCATGGGTGTGTTAATGTTTATTGGTTGTCCGATGGATGACTTCGCCGGACTTGTGTCACATCCCGATGGGTAAGTTATTTCATCCAACGGAATTTAACGAACCGTCCGCATCGCTCCAATAATAATTACACCCGGATATCATCAAAAAAGTCATTACATTACGAATATATAAATAAAATTAATGACGTATGTATATTATAAGCGAAGAGATAATATAATATACCTATTAAATATAAACTTATAATAATAATATTATATTAGCATAATATTGAGTTGTCAACGAAATCAATCAAGTTTTCTATTAATTTTATATCTATGCATAGTGTATCAAGGATAACAAATTTAACAAAATTTATGTTTTAGTATGTTTTTCTTTTAAATAGTTTTTCTATTTAAAATAGGGAGTGTACAGAAAAAGATAGAAGAGATCTAGAATAATATATAGCATCCGCAATTAGAATTCAAGAATTTCAAATGTGGATTCTACGTTCTCGGATTCAGTGGAACACGAATTCATTTTGCATTTTCATATTCCTTTTAATAATATCACTGCTTAACGGTGTTTTCAAAAGTATTCAACTCATGTTAGTAACATTGTTACGAAACTATCGCGATTGCCATTTTGCGTATTCAAACGCGCGGCTTGGCGGACGACGGTCAGTGTTTAACGAAAGACAACGTGTTCGAATGCGTGTCCGATTAGAATGCGCATCGTAAATACATGTATCGGAAACGCGCGTAGACCCTCGTCCTCCCTTCCCTTATTTACAAGTCAACGATATCTCCTGGTTCCCCTAAATACATACATTTCGCTCTTCTGATTTGGACTCCTCGTTTATCTGCCCGGCGCGCGCGGCGCAAAAGCGGGAAAACCTCGACAGTGACTTTCTGCGATCTGGAGCATCATATCCCACCGAACGGAACAGTCCATCATGGTCATTTATTAAACATGGACAAATGTAGATTTTTTTTTAATAACAAAGATTTAATTGATCCTTGTACAATGTAAATAGCAACCTTTAACTTAATTCCTTTCTTCAGTGAAGACTTTTCTTCAATTTTCTCTTTCTTTTTTGTTTCTAAAACATGTATTTTTCCTATTTTTATGTTATATTATAAAAATTGTAGAATTTAAGGATTGGTAAAAGAAAATTAATTAAGGAAAAAAGATATTAATTAATTTGACGTGTCTTTTAAGACATAATTTCTATAAAATTATAATATGTAAGCCATAAGCTGTATTAAGACGACTTAATCTTGCTTAAACAAGATATTTAATGTGTCTATGACAATCAAATCACTTATTAAGCTTTATTCTTCTTTATGTAATTAACTTAATGAAGATTTAGCTTTTTTTTACTAATTAAGCAAACGCATCAAACGTAGTTTAATCAGATTTATCAATCTATTTTCATAGGACGAGTTATCTTGAGTAAGCAAAATAAATAAGTTAAATGAAAATGAGACATAGTTTATTTTAAAGCGAAGTTGTGATATACAAGGTGACCTATTTTCGCAGACTCTCTAGCTTCGAGCCGACCTGTGAGGCGACCTGTGATTGCGATCGGAACAAATTTAGTCCAATCTGCGGTGCCGATGGTAGAACGTATTTTTCCGCGTGTCACGCGGGTTGTTCGAATTATACGGTTGCTGACGGCAAAGTGGCATCGGTAAGTGTTTAAGCCCGGTAGAACCGGCATCTGACAAGACATGCTCCGATGAAATATTTGCCTGACCGAGATTATACTTGAGATTATATGGGATTCGATAGTAATTGAATCGCTCTTGGAAACATCAAGAATTGAAATTGAATTGCGAATTTATTCGGAGACAATTCGCGATTTTGGATAATCTCGTCTTTGCAATAATATTTAAATAGCGTCACGGTTGTTAAACGAAGATAATTTTAAGCGCGTTGTCTTATTCGATATTTCTTGAATCCTTACCAACGAGATTTAATTTTCTGAGCATATAAATATCCATCGTGAGCAATTTTGTTTTTTTTTTCGAAGCTAAATATTATATTATTCAGTAGCTATGTATATCACACTAGGCACGAGAAATTATCACCTCTGCTACGACTTTTCTCTTCTGACGACGTTATATTTGATATTTTACAGTTTTACAATTGTCAATGCATCGGACAAAACGTAACGATATTACCAGAAGTAGTAAATACGGCGTCAATCGGTTACTGCTCACTGGAATGCAGTAACTTTTGGGTTTACATGATCCTGTTTTCGGTCTTCGTTTTTATTCACTCCACGAGCGAGGTGGGCTCTATGTTGCTCATTCTGCGATGCGTAGATCCCAGGGACAAGGCCATGGCACTCGGCCTGATACAATTTGCCATCGGCTTGTTCGGTAATTATTTGCTCTGAGAAATTTTTCTCAATTATAGAAATAGAAATTGCGGTGTGAATTTTTGTACGAGAATTGACTTGTTGCAAATAAAGGAAAAAGCAAGTAAATAATATTTTATAATTTATATATACAGTTTGCAAAATAGAAAAGGTTAGTTATTTATAGAGATAGATTTCATAATTCGATAAAATATTTGTATAATTTTATGAATTAAAGAAGAGATGAATCAACGAAATAGATTGAGATAGCGAAGGAATTGAAACTCCTTAATTTCTCACTGTTCTAAAAGTATTTTTTTTTTAACAGTATCTTTATTTCTTCGCTTTAGGCAATGTTCCATGTCCTATCGTTTATGGTGCTGTCGTGGATTCCGCTTGTCTCGTATGGGAATACGCTTGCGGTGAGCGAGGCGCCTGTTGGCTTTACGATTCAAACGTTTTTAGAATGTTCTATCACGGTACGTGCACACAACTTAGACATGTATAAAACAAATCTTACATTATTAAAAACTAAAAAAATAGATAATTAGAGTGTTTAAAAACAATATTGAATTTTAATATAAACACTCGCATTATTGATAATATAATAATTAATAATATATTTGATTGATTATATTGTGAAATGCTAATAAAATATATATAATAATAAAATTAATAAATTGAGATTACGAGGAAAAATATATTGTTTAAACAACGGTAAAATTTGTAGCGTTGAATTGAGTACAAGCACAAATTATGTAATACATTGATTGAATGTTCTTTTTTTTGTAGGTACGACAGGCGGTATCCTTATATTGGCCTTCGTGGTAGATATAGTCGTCTGGTACAAGGCCGGGAGCATAAGCTTCGTGGAGGAGCAGGAGGGCGAGACAGGTACTGCGGAGGAAATGGCGACGTTAAAATCGCAGGACGCTCAAGCGGTCGAGAACGACTATTTGTGAAGGTTTCGTATTACTCTTTTGCGGTGAAGGGCCGCGGCGGCGACATTATCATCGTCGTCTAAGGATGCAACGCAGTGTCGTAGGATGTGTAGAGACATCGTCCTTCACAAATTGTGTCAGTACAACTCGTCGTTCTTCTCAGAGACGGCTGTACGAGACGGAAAGATCGACTTGCTGCCGATTACACGCATCAGAATGGAACTTTCCTCGAAAGAGTTCCGTTCTGATGGGCAGGAAGTCTAGTCCCTCTTGTCGACGGCATCCGAGCATAAAGAAGCAGACTTCGCGTGGAATCGCAGGAAGACTGAAGTTGAAGGACGACTCGGACAATTTTGATTCGGTGACTCGGAGAATCGAAACTCAGTTACGCGATGAACAGAAAGAAAAATCGAGTTTTCAAGCAGAAGTAATAAACACGCGATAAGAAAGGAACGATGACACGGAAGAAAGAGAGACTCAAGGCGAGTATGCTTTGTCTGAGTATCGCAACGTAATATAAGTCTCTTGAGTGCGCCTTGGAAAAGTTAGTAGGGTTTCTCTCTCAGGAAAGCTTGTCAGTAAGTACACGCAATAAAAGTAATACTTCCGTGCCTACGAAATGACCGTGTTTGCGGCGAGCACGCGGTCCGCCGCTCCAGCAGATCCGGGAAATCGAATCGAATCAAAGCACACGAGCGGCCTCGCGGGTGGCAGTGAATGCGATTCGCATGGACAGACAGTGAGGGATTGCCTCGTGCTTTGCACCGGCGTTGATTAGTATATGACGGCGTTCCCGCCGCGCTCGCACGCGTACATGCGTTATCTAACTCTCTAACGGTAACGTTCGTTTACCGTGACGCAAAAGGAAACGCAGGGCATTTACGTAGATTGTAAATGTAGGTTTTTTTTTATTAAGAAGGAGGTTACGATCAAGAATTAGTGTATTAATATTTTATTTATGGCGTTTAATAAATATCTAATATTTTTAAATATACCTATAACTTTGCATTATAACAATAAGATATAAAAATTAAAACGTTATTGCAAAATTTTTTATTCGTAAAAATTATAACATTTTTAATCATAATAATTTTTTAAATGTATGTGCAATAAAAAAATGTAAACATTGAGAAATTCAAAATGTTATATTGAATTAACTGATTATTAAACTTAGCTGTTATCTAAGCAGATGTAATGGCTGCTAACTATATAAGTTTACTATTTTTTTAAAAACAGATTTTATTAGCAATTGATTAATAACGATATCATATCAAGATTTTGCTATATGATTTATTTTATTGTAGTAGACTTTTATTGATTATTATAAAAACAAAAATGCATTTATGAACATTACTGTATATTTATTAGTTTTTATGTTGCAAGTAAATTTATTATTGAATTTTTTATATTGGTATTGTTATTAAATATAAGTTAGGCGAATAAAAAACTATACTAGATATATTATATACAATAACTTCTAAATTTTTATTAACATTATTTTTACTAAATAACGAGAAGTTTAAATTTCTTACAAATCTTAGAAAACTTGGATCTAAAAAGTAAAAGCATAATCAATAAATTGAAATGTTTTAATAAATTGATTCTTTCTTATTTTTAAATTAAAGAGTTACAGATCTTTTACAATCTAATATTCTAACAAATAACTATAGTTGATATGCCCTGCATTTTCTTTTCGAAAATAACACGTTTTCAAGCGCATTACATTATGCGTTACGTTTCTCAGACGTGATTATTTTCGAAAATACGTAAAAAGTAAAAGAGACGGAGGAAAACTGCCGATCATTCCATTCGATCAATCGTTGCGATAGGGAGGCTTCTTCTTCACGGTTGCAATGCATAAAGAGCAGGCAAAGGATCTATAATTATATACATGTAAAAAGTGTATACTTCGCATACATAGATTTATAATGTACAGCTTAAATCGTCGATTTTGGTCAGTCGGTCCTCGACCGCTCATAAACGAACGTACACGCTTCGGGTACGCGCTCGCGTGCACCTCTGCTTTAATCCTTGCGTGTATTCTCTCTATTGATGTTCTAAAAAAATTATTGCGATGACTGATGTGCCAGGTTTTCGCACGGACGCTTCGTGAAGGTAGAAATTATCTGCGAAGATTACAGAGAAACTAAGCGTCGAGCAAACGATACAGATTTAAATTGATGCAATGCGTAAATTTAAAAAAAGAAATTAGAGAAAAGTCAACAGAAATTTTGTAATTAAATTTGATTTTTTATTATACAAACGATTAAAATCGTTTATATAGGGTATCTGGAAAATTGTTTGTAATTGTGATTTAAAAAATAGTATATGCCACTTTATTCATTGCATACAACGGTTATTAATTAATAATTGTCAATTAACAGTTGTTAATTAACAATGATTGTGAAAATATTTTGAAAAAATACAAATATTTTTTTCATTACACGTTTGCGTATAATTTAGATTTGTTGTAAACACATTTTAGATCTGTATTATTCGCGGCGCTTTTCAAATAATGTTATTTTTTTTATTTTCTTTAATCTAAGGTTATCTAAGGATTAAAAACTATAAAAAGTAACGTAAGTATAGTGTGTATCAATCGTTAAAATCAGAAATGTAAGAATAGCGAGATAATAAGTTATATGCTATAATATGCTAAGGATTAACGCAGCAAACGACTACCTCTTAATCTACTGTACGTCTCGTTATTATTAAAACAGAGTTCATTATCGATAATTTGGTTGGAGACTTTGCAAAATGGTGAATGATTAATTATTGCATCGAAAGATTAATTACCTACTTAGCTTGATGCCGATGACTGTTTTGACAATAACGACGTACGGGCGAAATTCGAGTATGCTCCATAAATTAGTGATATATTTTTATGTAAGAATATCGCATGCCTGAAACATGAAGACGTTCGTTTTGAGCGGTCCAAAACATTCTTGTTCCTTTACACAGTTTGTTCTCGATTTGCGCTATTAATAAATACTTGAGAATATTAGTCTGTTTAAATAAAATTTCGTAAAAGAGAGAGAAGAATTTTTCACTTTAAACAATACATTTCTGGATTATATTCAAATTCTTTTTTGTACTGTGAGTTAATTTCAAAACATTTTTTTTAAATTATTTGAATTATACATCAATCTTCAATTTTGATAAACTAAAATAAATAATAATAAACTAAAATGAAAAATTACAGGATAAATATATTTTACATAAACATTATGTAAATTAATAAAAAAAAGAATTTTAATTCAAATTTTTAATGTAGTCTATTTTAATTATATTGAATAATTAAATTATTTCTTTAATTATTTGTGGAGTGATAATTTAATAACGCAAATCAAGACGTACACGCATTTATTTGTTCCACTTCTAGGAATCGATAAAACACACGTACACATACATAGACACGATTATCATATTTGGAACTCTTCTTGGATCTCGGTTGACCTCTTAGGCACTACCGTCCGTGTGTTACACTCGTGCATAAAGTACTATTATGATAAATATACATAGACGTTATATGTAGAAACTTGTAATAAATATTATGACTGGCGGAAGTCTCCAGTGATGCTGAAAGAAAGAAAATAAAAATAGAGAAAGAGAAAAAAGAGGTCGACGAGATCGAAAGCGAAGATACATATAATATATACGATATTTTTAGATAATTTGACGAAAATGGAAGTAAGATAAAAGAACAAAAGTAAGTTCATTATTATTATTATTATTATTATCATCATCGTTGTTATTATGATTATTGCGCTGGTGTACCAGAGTGGCATACGCGCAGGCTGCGAATCACACATACAAAAAAAAGAAAAGCAAATGAATTATTAAAAAAAAAGCTGTATTTTAATATGATACACTTTACACACGTGAAACATGCTCATCAATATCTGATTGTCTATTTGAGTGCTTTCTAAGGCATCGCGTTTTGTTTTTAATAACTAAAAAAGACGTCTTAATAACAATGCATACATTTTTGTATCTCTAAGGATTTCCTGCAGTTATACATACATATGTAGAAAAAAAGATGCTTATTTAAAATACGCATTAGTCAAGTAATGAAATAATTTGAAAATGATTTTTTTGAGTATTGGGGAAACTTCTGCGTAATACAAGACACTTAATCTTTTTTGATAACTATCGATAACATAAAAATAATCATTTTAACGATATTTCACCTCTTGAACGATATTTCAAAGACAGATGATTATTTTAATATTAGACATCTTTTCCAAAAGTTTTTGGAAAGAGCTACTAAAATATTGAATACTCCTCACGTTTGGATAATTTGGATTTTAGATGACTGAATGCAGTCGCCAGTTCAAAAGTAATAAATCATTTGTACATGTTGATTGGCATATTCTATTCTCTTTTTTACACAATTGGCTTTCTCTCTCGTCGATGCTATTAACCCTTAAATACAGACATGATTTTATAATTATACCGATTTGAACTATTTGTCTCGGAAACTATCCGCGATTTTGAAAAATCTTCTATTGTTCTTTCTATATGAACATACCTATTTTACGATTCTTTCTGAATTATTTTTGAACATTTTACCTGAATGATTTGTATCTAAGGGTTATTTCGCTTGAGTGTGCGATTTACCGCGAAAACAAACGGGAAATATGGTATATTTTTGGAGATTTTTATGTTTTTGAGACAGTTATGTGTGCATTTCTCCATTGATCCTCCCGAGAATCGTATAGTGTTGATTATACGATCTGATATGAGAATGATAAAAATCAACATATAGTTATAATGCATAATGTTATTTTATAAAAGATACTTATTGATCTACATGTACTAATCTCTATTTACTGTAATCTCGATTATTATGGGACAAAATTGTAAGAGTTTATTTAAAATTGGATTTTAAGGCGTCTCGAATGTATTTCTTCATGTATTTATTATAAAACCTGCTAATATCTCTTCTGAACGAAGATATAATTTTATTTATCAGCCGGATGAGCAAGCAGCGAAACTGCTTTACTGTAATTAGCGAAGCA